TGCAGAAACTCTAATATCACTTATGTTTCACTGATGCTCCACTGAGCTTGCAGCTATAGTTTTTTTTTTAATTTTTTATTGTTATGTTAATCACCATATATTACATCATTAGTTTTGGATGTAGTGTTCCATGATTCATTGTTTGCGCATAACACCCAGTGCTCCACGCAGAATGTGCCCTCTTTAATACCCATCACCAGGCTAACCCATCCCCCTACCCTCCTCCCCTCTAGAACCCTCAGTTTTATAGTTTTACTTCAAGATCACAACAAAACCATTAATCTCACTTGCACATTTTACCTCTCCAGTTCTATGGAAAAAAGTGATTTCTTGACCTTAAAACTTGAAGAAACAACAAACAAATAAACATCAAAAATATTGTCATCTTACACTGTCTTATTAAATACAGAAATCCTGGAAGACGGACATCTTTTTTTTCCCTAGTTAGAAGCCTAAGGCAGGAGAAAATTCCAGAATGTCAGAAAAATTAGGCTCTTTTTTCCTTCAATACCTGAGCACTTTAGTGCAGCCCTTTCAAAAAGATGGGGGGGGGGACTCTGAAGCATTTTAAACTGTTTAAGTATTCACATGGTAATTATCCCAGTGAGTGAGAGAAAAAGAGGAAACCCCCTGTTCCTTGACAGCCTTGCACTGTGAACAATTTGCTAGCTGCCTTTGCATACATTATTCTGTCCAGACCTCTCAATCACCTCCTTAGAGGTGATCTCCAGGATTGCAAGAACTCCATGTCACAGATGAGGGACCAGATTTTCTGAATATTTGCATAGTTTTTCCCACGATGATACACTAGGTAATTTAGGGTATGTAAAGATCCCTTTGTCAGACTTCGAAGGAGGCTGTCTTTCTATTTTACCTTTACTGTAAAGTCTTGAAAAGTGTTGGTAATTATGTGCTACAACTGAACATTAATTATCCAAAACTTCCTTATCCATTAGCACCACACTGTCTCCAGTCCAGTGAGATTTGGAATTAAATCCCCATCCCAAAGTGTCCAAAAAATCTAATGTCCAGTCTTCCTCTATAAAGTCTACATTATCTCTTACTATCTTCCAGGCAGGGTACCAGTGCCCACTCAAGAAGAGCAATGAGAATGGGTGCAGTTCTCTAGATGAAGCAACCGTTTTCTCCATGTTGGTCTAGTCTGCAGCACTGGAATTCTGACTCACTCTCTCTGAGTTCTGAGGGATCAAGTCATCACTCTAAAACTACCATCTGCCTGCCATAATCTCCTGTGGAGAGCCTGGTACCCTGAGACAGTATCTTCTGCCTTTTCTGGGCACCAAAATCTTCTCCCATTGGCCTGGCTAGGTACCGCAGCCTGCATTCCTCCAGTCCTGATGCATTGCTTATCATCGAAGTTCCTACATTTCTACAAATCAGAGGTTACAAAGGCCTATAGACTTTAGACAGGTAGTGTAAGTGAGTGAAGCTAGACAGACAAGCTAATGCGAACTGGTGCACAGCTCTGGGGTCCGAAGGTCTGGGGAGGAAGCTGCTATTGTGTGATCATCTGAGAATGTGGGCTCGGTGTTATAGCCTGTATGGATTTTTAAGACAAGACAGAAATCTCAATATTTTATGTAAAATTGGTAACTAATCCAGTGGGTTTTTTTTTTAAAGATTTTATTTATGTATTTATTTGAGAGAGAGAGAGAGAGAGAGACAGAGCACAAGCAGGGGGAGGGGCAGAGGGAGAAGCAGGCTCCTCTCTGAGCAGGGAGCCGGATGCCCAGGACCCCAAGATTATGACCTGACGCTTAACAGACTGAGCCACCCAGGCGCCCCTCAGTGGTATTTTTAAATGTTATGGAGACGCAAGACAACTGCCCACAGGTCCTCCAGTTTATGACTTCCGCCTCGGATAATTACTCAGCCCTGGCTTAAAAAGTACAATTCTCATTCACACAGTCTTCTTCTTCTTCTTCTTTTTTTAATGCTCAGAGTCTTAAAAGTCTTACTTGCAACTAGGAGAAGTGAGCCGACAATATAAATTGATGTCTGAACATTAATTTTGGAAAAATTTGATTACCACATCAATGCATTACAAAAGTAGTCCACTCCAGTATTGGGAGATAATTCTCCATGAGTTTCTCATGTTACTACATCTTGTGAGCAAAGACACTGACAGCCTTTGTTTCAGACAATCTATTCAGGGATGTTTATATTGCTAACAGCCTTGGAAGAGACATACAGAGTCTCCCTCTAGAGCAATGTTAACTTCACATTATAACACATTCAGTTTTCCTAAACTCAGGGTTCATCGCTAGTAGTGTAACCTACTATCCTATTTGTGTCATTCTGTGAAATTTGTGGATCGGGAACCAGTGAAAGTGGTAACACTCTGGCAGACGTTACTGTTGTGAGTGCTAAGTCCTTGGTCTCTGCCAGGGTTCATAAAACAGTGGCGGACTAACACATTCAGCGGCAAACAGGGTAAAATCTCAGGTTCTTCAGAGTTCTTGACAACTGATATTAGTTTTTCTTCCACTCTGAATTCTGAGTATGGTAGGTCCCTAAAATCCACAGCCTAAGAGCTCCTGGGTGACTCAGTCAGTTAAATGTCCAACTCTTGGTTTCAGCTCAGGTCATGATCTTAGGGTTGTGGGATCAAAACCCACGTCTGGCTCTGTGCTCAGTGTGAAGTCTGCTTCAGATCTCTCTCTCTCTCCCTCTCACTCACTCTCTTTCTCCTTCAAATGAATAAATAAAATCTTAAATAAATAAATAAATAATAAAAGTCACAGCCTAGTGTCTTCTTCCGTACTATTTACCACATTTCCCTGAATCAATATATCCCTATCTTGCTTTTGGAAGTACAGCATTGCCTATTCTCCATTAAAACAGTCATGAGCTCCCATCATTTCAAAAACCCAAATCTCTTCCTATCCCATTGTCTCTAATTCCTTGAGGCTTCCATCTTTACCTTCAGACAACAGCTTGGTGCTAGCAATAAAATAAAATGACGAAGCAGGGCAGTCAAGCTATTTGAAACTGTGTTTTGCCTCCTACTTGCTGTGTTACTTTGGACAAGTTATTTAATCACCTCAAGACTCAGCTTCCTTATCATATGAAATGAGGATAACAATAGTAATTAACTCCCAGTGTTATTTGAGAATTAAATAAATTTATATATTTAATGTGCTTAGAATAGTATGTGGTACGGAGTGAGAAAGCAATAAATGTAATCAATTATTCAACTGAATATCTCTTCAATAAATTAGTTAAAGGCTCGACCTTAAATGCAGGTTATTTGCGACTTGCGGTCTAACTCTATTATTGGCAACCTGAATGGTGGATAATTCAGGGTTAGGTAGTGCTTGGTCCTTTCTCAATTCAAATCCTCAGCAGTTTAGAAACGTATCATTTTCATAGGCTCTCTCTTCTGAAAAAACAATCTTCTACAAATGATATGAAGGACCAAATACTAATCCCCCTCAAGTCAAATGGTAAATGAACAAATATACTGTTAAAAAGAAACCACAGGGCCATAATGGAGCCATTTAAGTTAAGGCCCCAAGTCAGTAAACCAAGACTTAATACTTAACCTAACTGCAGTTTCAACTCTCCAGGACTGTGTAACCTTTAACCAGTCAACATGGGAATTTCCTGGTCAGCCCTAGGAAGTTTACTGATAGACCCCTTCCGTTCCACCTAGGAGGGCAGCCTAGCCTAAAAACAATGGATTCTTTGCTAACAATTCTCCCCACATCCCCCCACCCCTCCCATACCTTTGAAAACCTTTCCTTTCCTGTTGCTCAGTGGAATTCTCTTCTGTTTGCTACATGGGATGTTGCCCGATTCAGGAATTATGTGATAAAGCCAATTAGATCTTCAAAGTTTACTCAGTTGGACTTTTGTTATTTAGCCATACTACAAAGGTTTTTCAAAATTGCCAAACAACTTTCGCACAGATAACTCTGTACACTCAAGATGCCTAAATACCATTACATAAACAGTAGAAGTTTTCTTTGCAGCCTTAATCAAAGTCAAGTCACCCAAATATTATTTGTCTGAAGCAATGTTTCCACTGTGCTGTGGCATTTCTAATGGTCTCACATAACTTCCCTGCTTTTCTAAGACGTATCCTTTCTATTTTCCTAAGCCCGTGACAATTAAAATAAAAATTTCAAAAGGGTAAAGGAAAGAGGAAAAACTACAAGAATCTGATTTGATTTTCCTACACTCCCTCCTTCCCTTTTTCCAAGCAGCTAATCCCCTCTCAAACAATACAATAGAACAGCTAGACATAAAGAATAGGAGATAAAACTGGCCGGCCAGTGCACTGTTCTTGCTAATCTGCACCATTTACATAAGGGTTAGAAGGCTTGTTTTATCATTTAAACAGGCTTAAAAGCCTCTTTGCAAATGAGATTTAGTTCCTACAAAACAATGAATTCTAGCTATTTGGTGATTTTCTGCTAGACAAGCACTGGGAGCTGACTTGGCAGTAACTTAAGCTACTTCTTTGGCCACATACAGTATATGCAAAGATTGCTTCCAGCTGCCAAAACTGAAAAGTGTCAAGCTGATTAAATTCTTTCCCGGAGGTGAACAAGATGAGGAGCAGGTTAAGAGGCCAATAATATCAGATCTTAAACTATACCTGGGCAGACTCGTCTTTACGCAGGTGCTTTAAAAGTGGCTTTGAACCTTTAGAGCCCTTAGATTCTTCCTTTGAAAGGGAACCAGTAGGGCAGACAGCAAATGAAATTCAGAGACAGAAAGACTTAAAATTTCTCAAACTGTGTAGTGAGGACAAGCTAAAGTCTTTGATTCATTGTTGGTCTGAGTGGCATTGGACACAAGGATAAACTGCAGGACTAACTCCCTCGCCAATGTTAGCACAAAGGATCTTTTGAAGGAAAGGGTTTTTTTTTTTTTTTTTTTAACACAGAGGAGTTACACCCTTTGCATCAAAATCTTAGATTTAAAAAAATTAAGATTATGTTTATATATACTATACCTATTATTTGTTTTACCTGGCACACCTTGAACAGATGTTCAGTGTGACCTTGGCCTGAGGTTCAGCAGGGTGAGTAGCACGACCTTGGTTAAATTTGCTCCCAGAAGGTACAAGGGTAGTTACTCCCTCCATTCTTAAATCATCAAGATCCTCTGTAACAACATAAACAATTGCAGAGAAAAAATTAGCCCTAATAGAATTAATAAGAAAAGTCCATGTTTTCAGGTATCTGCCAGTAGTTAAGTAAAACATTATTATTTCTGCTTTGCAAAAATATTACCTCATGTATCAGTTATTTTTCAAATCATTTCTAGATGTAGTTGGAGACATATATAAGGAAAGATTTACAGAAGAAAAATGGTGAGAGGCTGATTCCTTTTAGACAATGGGCAGATCATCATCTAGGACCACAGAACATGGATCCACCACCTTTCTGTAACCGTTCAAAGAAACCACACCAAAATCTCTGCTGTAATTAGCCCCAAATGGTCACGACTTGGTCAATGACTGCCAGCTTCCCTATTTTTGCCTTTGCTTCCAACTCAGAGCCAACCAAAGAAAGACATATAGTCTTCCAAACTAATTATATAAGATCATTTGTTTCTAATTAGCTTGCCTTCACAGCTTCCTCACTCAGCAACCTCTATTAAGCCTTCTTTGTTTTCACTCTTAACCTTTCCTTTTTGTTTTCGTGTGGGGAGGACAATATACTTGGATAGTCATGACCAAGGTTCACTGAATCCCCCTCCAATTTTTCCCAGGTCCTCAATCAAGACTTAAAAGATCTAAGTTTCCCTTGCAATTCAGTCCTGATATAATATGTCCATGATCTCCTGTTTTATTCAGAGGACAAGGGCTCTGGTAAAAAGGATTCCATTGATTTGTTCTTATTTTTAGCAAAAGAGGGACATAAAGTTTTAAAAGATAAATTACAATTTTGCCAAAACATAATCCATTATTTGAGGTTATAACCTATATAAAGAGGGAAATCACTCTTTCCTGATAAGGCTATAGACTATCCAAACATCTTAGACCCCTCACAAAACAATCAAGAGTATTTCTGGTTTAACTGGATATTGTAACCAACAAGTATCAAATTTTCCTGAGATTGTGACAACTTTTAGTTTAAGTCATAAACAGGTTTTCTGCCATCTGAAGACTTGTCAACAGACTCCTTCCAACTAAAATCTTTTCTTCTACTTGCATATGAGCAATCTGGGCAAGCCTAGGGAGTCTTAACTCAATTTCATGGGCGTCGTAAAAACTCACCACCTTGACCTGGTTGCAAAAGCTTCTTCCCCTTGTTTTAAAGGCAGCAACCACCACTTCAAAACTTGGTGCTTTTGCTGAGCTAGTTATATAGCCTTGTCTCTTGATCTTATGGATCTGTGTTCCTCATACAACACAGACATTACTGCCATCTGAGAACACAGCACTTTTCAGCGAGCTATTTAGCCTCCATGAGACTCTTAGTGCCTCATCCTCACATTACTATTTACCACTGCAACACCTTGATATGCTGTTCTCCTGACCCTACCAGGAGAAGAGAACCTCATGATTTTCTTAGCTCAGTTAGGGAACTTACTATACCCCATTCAGTCTTTTTGGAGACTCCTGTTGAAAAATCTGACCTAATATTATTTGTTGATAGATCATACCTCAAAACTTCAAACTGGAGCAGAATATGCTATTACCAATTTAAGCTTGACTTTGGAATACAGTCCTTTACGTGAAGTAAAATTAGTCTAGATGGCAGAACTACTGCACTTACTTGAGCTTGTCAACTAGACAAAAGACCACAGAGTAAATATATACACAGACACACTTTAAAATATATGCATATATATGAGTTTGGGATGCTTTGGAAACAAAGGGGTCAACCCTGTTGGAATCCCCATCAAAAAGGACAAGATGTTTAAGATCCTTTTACATGCATTCCTTCTTCAAAAGGAGGTAGCGATTGTAAAAGTTGGGGCTCATTAAAAAAAGAAATAATATGGGAGCTAAAGGAAATAATCTCTAGCAGATCACTTTGCCAAACAAATGGCTTTAACCAAGGTTTTGATCCTATCTAAACTCAAAAGATAAATCCTTAAAGGAATTCAAAGAGACCGTTATAAAATATCAACATTTAGTCCCTCATTTTGGAAGAACATAAAATGGAAAAAATGTGGTTCTAGCTTCATTTGCATAATCTCTGGTACTCTCAAGACAGTGCTTTGTGTCACTAGATGGTTTCAAATGTATATTAGCTAAATTTCTCCATGAAACTACTCATCATAGTACAGATAAATTGGCTATTATCTTAAATTTACATGGCTGGGTACACTTTAAAAAGAGAGCTGAGGTATTTTTTAAGTCACATGGACTTGTCACCAGCATTAATTCTAGAAAAACTGTAAATGTGGGACATGGCCAGAAACCAAAGCTTCAAGGGTCCTTTGAACACCTCCTGATGGATTTTATATGGCTTCCACTTTCCATGAGATTTCTCTGTTTTAGTTATTGTATGTCTATAGAATTTCAGGATAGGTTGAAACATTTCTTTGTCGCAAAGCTACGGTCTTTACAATTGCTAAGAATCTGCTCAATTCTGTGTTTCTAACCTTGGGAATATAAACTTTTATATCAAGTGACCAAAGCACACCTTTCACAAGAAATACTATAAAAGAAATCTGTAAGGTATTACCCCTTATTCAGAAACCATGTTGCTCTTACCACCTACAAACTTCTGAGAAGGTGGAAAGAATCAGTGACGTCCTTGAAATAAAACTAACAAAGCTTTCAGAAACCCTTGAGCTCTTTTAGTCAAGGGGACTCCTACCCACCCTTAAAGCAGTAAGGTCTGCTCTCTCAGGGACATACTGTTTGCTTTGCTGTGAACTGGTAACTGCAAGGCCCACGTATTTAAGGATTTTACCTATGATACTATACTCATGCACACAGACATCACAAAATATTACAGGTTAAGGGTACATTCAAATAGTCTTCTTAAATGGCCTCTTTATGACATTCAGCTATGAGGTTTCATCTATTGGAAGATATATCGGGGAAAAACTGCTCTTGAGCCTCACTGGAAGGAATTCTATCAGATATCGTTAGCAACAGATACAGAAGTAAAACTCCCTGGAATAAGTCCTTGGGTTCACATTTCATGACTAAAGAAGCAATCCAGACTCAACCAAATTAGAAACCTGACCTAACAGGGGGACATCAGCTGAAGATTCTCAGAGATTCTCTAGAAGCAGTTGATCTTCCCAGTAGACAGATGACCCAAGACTCAACTTTAGAATAATTCACTCGAGATGGTGGACAGCTCCTGCACAAGATGCGGGATCAAAACATTTGCCTAATGCCTATTTTGTTTTTATCTGCTTACTTATAATCATTCCTCATTTTCTAGAGACCCCTGGTTACTGCCCATGCATAATGGCCCTTTTTCTTTTATTTCCCTCTTACTAAAATTAGATCAGAGCATAATCATTATAACACCAATCTCAGATTATACCAGCAATAGCCTTCAAGCTTACTGGTTGCTGGATATGCTATTCCTCACTACACCCTAATGATGAAAATCTGAGGGAAATTCTAATCTATGGAAATGAGATCAAAGGGAATTATAACCAATGGTGTTTTCACTTGTACCTACAGGGACAAATGACCTTAAACAGATCAATTTGTGACTCTGCTAGAGTCCCTCTCTTACAGAAAAAGGAGAGGGACTCTAGCAGAGTCACAAATTGATCTATTACAGGAAAAGAGAGGGACCTTCCTAAATTGATGGGCCAATTATTTGTCATCTGGACTAAAAGAAATACAAATATGTAAGCCAGCCAATGTAAGGTTTTTGTTCTAACCTCATGTCATAAATAATTCCTTTTTTCCTGGATATCCATGTGTTCCTACCAGATACTACTTTCTTTGCAGCTGGGATAATTAGTCTTGCTTGTCTCACTAATATCTCATGCACTTTAAGAATAGTATTACAAAATTTATCTGTACAAAGACACTCTAATTCTATATATCATCAAATCTGGAAATTACAATTGAGACAAAAGCTCCAAAATGAGGTTACCCTTGATTATTAAAGCACATTATCTACAGGTTACCAATTCAGAATTTATACAATCAAAGCACTGTTTCCAATAGTAAGAATCATACAAACAAAAGACTGTAAAACATGTGTCATTATAACTTTGGCAGAAGTTATAAAATTATACCACTTATAATCTAGATGGAATATAGATCAATCTCAATTCCTTGGCAAGAGTAGTAATAGACAATTTAGATTTCTTGTTCACTAGTCATGATGGTATCTGTGCCATTTCTAATACTTCTTGCTGTACTTGGCTCAATGAAACACATAAGTTAGAGAAGGCAATATATCATCTTAAGGAAAATAGCTATTTGGCTCTGTAAGATTGATCTTTATGACCTGTGGGATTATTCTTTTGGTCTTGGTTAGACATTCAGGTTTCTGGTTCTGAAGAATCTTAAATGGAATTTTAATTATTCTTGTTTATGTCACAGTGGTCATGATACCAGTCCGTTTAACTTTATCACTTAATACTTAGTGCAAGTTTTAAATGCTTCTATTAGCCACTTTCTTACCAGATGATCACCATAATGATACAACATCAAAAAGATTAAGAAGCCCTTGTGATACAGTTGATTATGGAGACAAGTGAACAATCATCAACAATCATCTGAAGATGTGGATCTTTTGGCCAACTTCCTGAATAAAAGAGGGGACTTAGAGACTGAACATACAGACAGTGGAAAGATCATACAGGACATTAGAACACTATCCACAACCTCTATTGGAATCAACCAGTGAAGCCTCAGCAGCAGTTATCCCCAAAACATTCAGGACTTGATTCATAAAGGCCAGCTTTCCTCCTTTTATCTCCATTTCTAAGTCAGAACCAATCAGAGAAAGTCAAATATGCTCTCCAAACCAAGTGCATAAGGCAGTCTGCTTCTAGTTAGCTTGCCTCCAGGTTCCCCATGCCAACAGCTTCCAATCAAAACATACCTCAAGCCATCCGTCCACCCCATCCCCTCCCCCAACAAACAGTAGACTCTCCATGCCAGAATTCTCTTTGCACTTGCAAATTCAAGAGGGGTATTTCATAAGGCCTTTTGAAGATAG